TGATGTTGCCTTCTTGAGGTCACACCCCCAGTGTTGTACCTCTGCCCAAAAAGGACAGTTGGGAGACCCTTGCCACCTTCCAGCCAGGCCCTGCCAAGGGCAAAAGTACAAAAGGAGGCCCACTTTGCACTTATCAGTGTTTAAAAAGCTATTGTTGTCATCTCTCCAGTCAGTTCTGACTATAGCGACTCCATGTGACAGAGTAGAACTGCCCCATAGGGTTTTCTAGGCTGTAATCTTTACGGGAGCAGATGTCACATCTTTCTCCCAAGGAGCTGCTGGGTGGGATCAAACCACCAACCTTTCGGTTAGCATCTGAGCGCTTAACCATTGCAGCATCAGGGCTCAAGCTAAGCCAAACTACTGAGTAACTACGTTCTATCTTCCTCCCTTGAAAATGATACCTTCAAAACAATAAAATAAAAATTTATGTATACAGCTATGGTTTTTACATGACTGAAAATCGGCAAAATTCAGAGATGACAATTTCTATGTGGGATCCCATCTTCAGTGCAGTGGGAGACCCAGGAATGTGAGCCAGCCAAAGTCACAGTTGCCACTGACCAACACAGAAGATAACCCACAGTATTTACAAGCACCCACAATATACCGAGAACTGGCAACCAAAAACCAGTTACCTTCAAATTTATTCCAATTCATGGCGACCCCATGTGTGCAATGTAGAACTGCTCCATAGGATATCATTGCTGTGACCTTTCAGAAGCAGATCACCAGGTTGGTCTTCCAAGGTGCCTCTGGGTGGGTTCGAACTGTGAACCTTTTGGCTAGTAGTTGAATGCTTAACAGAAAATCCTTTGGGGCAGTTCTACTCTGTAACACATGGGGTCTCTATGAGTTGGGGGTGACTTTACAGTAACTAACAACAACTCAAAGTATGGTCACCTGAGTAGTAGTATCAGCATCACTGGGGCGGGGGAGGGCTAACAAGACCCCCAGTGTATACAATCAAGTTTGAGATCCACTGATTTAGCAAAATGGATGAGAGCTTTAGAATAAAACACACTTGGACCCCAGCTAGGCCAGTTACTAGCTGAGTGGCCTTGGGCATGTCTCTTAATCTCTCTGAGACTCAGCTATAAAAAAAGGAAAATAATATTAGGCTGAACCATGTGAAATTGCTCTCACTCTCTCTCTCTCTCTCTTTTCTTTTTTTTGTAGGTAAGTAATGATCCAATGTAAGCAATTTCATGTGGTTCAACCTAATACCTACCTACCTTGGAAGGTTATTGTGGGCATTGATTTTAAAATAAGATAAAATATGCAAAGCACCTGGTACAGAAACTGGCACACAGTAGGTGTTCACTCAATGGTAGGTATTGTTTGTATGCGGTAGGCACAACTTTGCTTCCCCTACCACCTCACCCCCAGCGGCTCCCATGAAAACCGAGCCAAAGAGCCAGGGTAGATGTAATCACTCATTAAACCTGATTCTGTAGCAGCAGCTCCCTGGTAGGTGGGCCAGTGGCTATTTTCATGGCTGCATGAAGCTTGAATGAGGGTACCTGTCATCATCACTGCTTCAAAATATCCAGTTCATCTCCAGAAGAAGAAACTGAGACCCAGACACATTGATGATGTCACCAGGGCCACATGGAGACTTGGGTGCTGACTCAGGATAACTGTCTCCCAGTCGGTGTCTCCTACTCTGTTCTCTTGGAGTCATCCGGCATGTCTGAGGAAGCATTAGCCCAATGGGTTTACAATCTTCCCCAGAAAAAGCATGCTTCCTGTTTCTGTGTGGAAACTCATCACCAGGAAGGATCACTTGAACTCAGTGCTTGCAGGTGGTGGGGAGCTAAAGTCTGGGTGACACTTAGGAGTGAGCTGGATGCCGGTAACAGCAGCAGCTTCTAAGCTGTCTTCATCCATAGTCATCACTGCCTTGTGAGTGACCTGCAAGTAAAACTCTGGAATCATCAATCTACCCAAAAGGAGTGACCAACAGAGCCTTTATTTTTGTACCATTTGTTTTCTATTCCCTAACTTAACTCCAAGGTTACCCATCAGTTTACCTACTCAGTCACCTATCCTTTCATCCATCCTTTGAAAAATTGACTCTTTTATCCATCTACTCTTAAATACACTTACCTATCCATCTATCTGTCTCTCTATCATTCATCCAACCATCCATCCATCTGTCCATCCATCCATCCATCCATCCATCCATCCATCCATCCATCCATCCATTCATGATCCAACTCACCTGTCCATTCATCCATCCACCCACCTACCCATCTACTTAAGTTTTTTGTGGCTGGTGCCTGTGTCATATTGGTTGAAAAATATTTTGAATATCCCCCCAGCATCTGCTTATTCATCCATCCATCCATCTATCAATCCATCATTTCTCCATCCATCCATCTATCAATCCATCATTTCTCCATCCATCCATCTATCCAAGCACTCTTTCACTCAATCATATCTGATTATTATTTCGTTCATTTCATTTAGATAACTCATTCTCGTTCACTTCATCACTCACTCATTCATGGATTTAGTCAGTGAAGAGAAAATGCAAAGGGCAGCAGGGGATATATCCTGGACGAGTAGGTTAGTACTAGACCATGGAGGACTGTAAACGTCATGTAGTTGAATCTTCATCTTGTAGTCAGCAGGAAGCTTTTGAAGAATGTGTTGTCATGGAAACCAAGGGATGTAGTGTCTTGAGGATAAAAGAGGAGACACTGATAACAAGCAAGACAACAGGAGGTCAAGTAAATGAGGGCTTGAGCATGTATGTAGGATTCAGACTTAGTCTTGGTGACAAGGGAGGCAGTAGCACCCAGGATCCCCGTTGAAGTTCTGTGTCAAGAACTCATCCTTCCATGAACTAACAGATGTAGGGGAGAAGATCAGTGAGGCCAAAACTCTAGATACAAGAGGGACAGGATTAGACAGGGACTCAACAGGACTCATGCACCTCATCTATACAGTGATCAGGCCCTGTTAAGGGCAATGGAGCCTAGTGGTGACAAGCATGGACTTGTGAGCCATACTGAATTGAGTCAAATCGCAGCTGTAGCTCTTCCTAAGGGTGTCCCTTTGTCTTTTTCCTGGACTACTGCAGTGGTCTCCTAACTGTTCTCCAGGCTTCCACTCTTGCCCTACTGTAGTTTATCCTCCACACAGCTGCCTGGGATCTTTTTTGAACTTAGTTGGATCTTGTCACGTTACTCATCTGCTTGAAACCCTGCAGTGGCTTTCCATCTCACTCCAAGTAAAAGTCAAATGCCTTTTGGTCCTAAAAAGTCCTACTCAACCTCTACCCTGCTGACTCACCACACTTCCTCCCATTTACTCTGTTCCAGCCTCATTGACCTTTTTGCTGCTTCTAGAACATACCAGGCTTGTTTGTGTCACAGGACATTTGCACTTACTGTGCCCTCTGCCTGGAATTTTGTTTCCTTGGTAGGACCTTGGTGGGGCCTTCCTTGAATACTGTTCGATAACAGCTCCTATTGTCCCCCTTATCCTGCTGTATTTTTCTTTGTGGTACTTATTCCCACCTGACATATGACGTATCTATTTGTCGGTCCCCTCCCATACTGCTCACTGATTATAATGCTGTTCTGTTCACCACTCTATTTCTGCACTTACTCTATGTCTGGGACATAGTAAGCCCTCATTCTACCATCACATCACCTTTATCATCATTACCACTTACGGACAACCACCACACCTGAAGTTCCAAGTCCGTGATTTTATGCCCTGCCAGGGTGATGTGATCTTGGGCAAGTTGCTTCCCCTTTCAGATGGAGTCTAAAGTCCTCATGTATCAGTAAGGAAACGGAGGCTCAGTGAGGCTATGTGGATTGCTCAAAGTCATACGGCTTGGTGCAACTCAGGTCTTTTTGACCTCAAAGCCCATGTTTCTTCCCTCACCCCCACTGTCTCTTCTGGGATGCAGGTGAAGTGGAGGCAACAGGGTTGCCACCAAGTACTGTTCAGAATAGAGAACAGGAGTCTGGTGTCAGATGATTTGACCTAAACTCAAATCCTGGCCTTGGTACTAAGTAGCAGTGGTAACCTGGGGTAATCTTCTTAGCCTCTCTAAGCCTCAGTTTCCTCATCTATAAAATAGGGATAACAGCACTTACCTCATCACCTCACTGCAAGGGTTTAAGGATATAACATACAGGAAAGGTGCTGGCTCCTGGCATAGAGCCTTGCTCAGTGACTGTCCATCATGGATGAGAAGGGGAGAATGAAGGTCCATGTTGCGTGTGAGGCATGAGCTCTCTTCCTCTCCCCGTCAGCTTCCCCAATCCGCCATCAGCCCTCCAGTTCCTCCTCCTGTGACTCTCCTGACCCAGAGTACACAGCTCTGGGCATTTCCCTCCATTCTCTGTACCTAGGGGTGGCTCCTATCTGTGTTCACTCCACTCTGCCCTCCATAGATCTTTCTAGAACTTTCTAGGGCATTAATATGATTATGTACCTTTCCATGCCTTAGACCTCAGGATAGAGTCCCAGGTCATTGGAGCAGCTTACAGGGTCTTCCAAGATGGACCACGCTCCAATTTTACCCAGAGGGTGGGCCTTCTGTTCCCGAGACTCCTGCCTCTCCAGCCCCACCCCTGCAGACAGTCCTGATGTTCTCCCTCAGCCCCCTTTTCACACAGCTTGCCCTTCTAGCCCCGGATAAGGAATGGCCTCCCGCAGAAAGCTTCCTCTGCACTTCCAAGCCTGCTTCAGCCTGCTTCTATGTGGGGACATGATGGTAACATGCGCTGCATTTCCATCACCCTTTCCTTTCCTTCTCTGTCACCCAGAGGGCAGGAAGGGGGCTTATTCCTGTGGGATCCCCAGGGACTTGTAGAAGTGGGTACTCAGTGATGTGAGATAAATGCAGAGAAGCAAGGGGCAATTGCAAAGTTATAGGAAAAGAGAGCCCCCGTTTGTTAAGAGCTGCTGGACATCTTCTCCCAGTGCTTGTCCAAAGGCACTGAGAGACCTCTGAACTCCGATCCCCAACTTACTTGAGACGTTCAGTTGAGGCTCTTCGGGGATACCTCCACCCACACTCACTCGTGGTAGCAGCACCTCCAGTTCGTAGGTGCTAGCCTTGGAAATTTTGGGGAAATAGAAATCGAGTTCTCTGAGAGGAGACAGATAAGGATTTGCTGTTGGTAACTTCCGCAGGCCGAGATCCCGAAGGGGCTTGTGTCTTGTACCCTGATCTCACCCCAGACCCAGGCCTCCACCCCTCTCCCCAGCCCTCGTCTCAGCTTCTCATGCTCTTCCCTCTGCTGATCTCTCTGCCCAATTCATCCTCGCCAGCCCATTCTCCAAGAGGCAGCCAGAGAGAGCTTTCTAGAATGCATACCATCCCATTCAACACCTGTCAAGGCTCTTTTTGCCTCCCTGTTCAAGGCCCTGGGAGCTCCGGCTCCTGTCTGCCCTTTCTGTCTCATCCTCGGCTCCTTCCTTCCTGTGTCCCCAACGCCTCTCGCTTTGTTCCTGAAACTGACTGAGCTCCTTGTGGTTTCCTCAACATGCTGGGCTGCTCCTCATGTCTGGGCTTTTGTGGGTGCAAGCAAATTCCTCTCCTTGGAATGCCCTCTTTTCAACCCGTCTTCTTTGGGATTCTTTTCTTTACTCACGGCGGAGCTGAACTATTTACACGCTCAGGGGAGGGTTGCTTGAACCTCAGAGAAGGCACATTGTCCCCTCTTTGGATTCCTGGGTACATCATTCTATCATCTCTTTTATACAATGAGAATAACAGCTCACCCTCACAGGGTTCACACCTCGCTGCCATGATAACCTCCCTTCCACAGTTGCAAAAACCAAGTCCTGGAGAGGGTGGTACCTGCCCAAGTGTCAGCAGGGCTGGGACCAGAGCCAGCCTCCAGACTCCCAGGCCAGTGCTGTCTCCCGAACCCCATCCTGACACCCTCAGGGAGGCAGGGACAGTGCCCTGGGGAGTGACAGCCCTGGGAGGTGACAGTGCCCCTAGGGGGGTGACAGTTCCTGAGAGCTGACAGTCCTTGGGGTGTGACAGTGCCCTGGGGGTGAGACTACTTTGAGGGAGGATAGAGTCGTGGGGGGGAAGTGTCCTAGGGGGGTTACAGTTCCCTGGGTGGTGACAGTGCCATGGGAGAAACTGCATGGTGGCTGAGGGAGGAGGTGGGATCGCCCTTGGGAACCGCCGCCTCCCCTGGGCTCTGCAGGAAGATACTTTGTCCAGAGCAAACTGTCCCACTGGATGAGTGCTTCGGGCTGCTGCAGCGTGCCCCACTTGGGGAAGATGAAGAAGGCGATGGCATTGCTGGTGTGGTCCATCCGCAGCACCATGCGCTGCAGCTCAGGGTCATAGAAGGAGCAGTGATGGGCCTTCTGCTTCATCATAGGGACCCACATGGCCCTGTGCTTGTCCACAAAGAATTCCTTCGGGCTGGTGGCACGCGGGTTGAAGGGATGAGCCCACGAGGCTGACGGGCAGAGAGACGCTGATGTCAGGAATCCACTGGAGAGATGGTTACTTTAAAAAAAGAAAAGTGTCATTGCAGTACAAACTCCTCCAAAGGTAGATGTGGATTTGAAGGCTAGTCTCTGCCTGGTTTTGAGACCCAAGGCAAGTTACCTACCTTGTTAGTGCCTCAGTTTTCTCTTCTGTCAAGCGGACATAATAATACCTACCTTGCTGGGCTATGATGAGAAGTAAACAAACATTAAATATGCATCATACTGGCTGGCTAATAGGGACTTCTTACATAGAATAAACGTGTGTGTATGCACGCATGTAGGAGTGTGTGTGGGCATGTGTGTGTGTAAACACACTGACGTAACACCACATATATTCATAGACATATATTTACATAATGCTTTGCTGGCTCAGGAAAATAACTTTCCTTCTTTTTTAAAAGTCTGTTTTCTCATCTGTAAAATGGGAACATTGACCTCAGCCTTATCTGCTTCATCCAGGTGAGAGGGTCACATGAGGCTGTCCATGCGAATGCACCTTGAGACCTCCAAAGCACTGTACAATATGAGGCTCGGGCCACCTGCTGAGTCCCAAACAGGAGTACTGGAGTGAGAAAGCCCACCCCAAACAGCCGCCACAGTCCTTGTGTAGGACACTGAAGCTATCACCACTAAAGAAGGCATTAATAGTGGCTGGGGCACACACCTTTGCTAGCTCCTTTGGAAAAAATTAAGACTGCCCTATCTTGGACTCTTCTCTCTCTGATCCACGCCCCAGGCCTGGCAGGGGAAGGAAATTCCGTGGTTGCTCACAGGGTCCTCAGAGTGAGGATCAGGGACCTCCTGCAGCATAATCACCTGGTGGGAAAGGGAGGAGAGCTTCTTCAAATGCAGAGTATTGAGTTCCAGTTACCCACTCACTGAATTGGAATATCTTGGTAAAAAAAGGAAAAAAAAAAATCTGTTAGGGTAGGCATGGAATATCTCCATCTTAAACAAGCTTCCCAGGGAGTTCTTATACACATTAATGCTTGAAAAGTCCTTCTTCAAAGATAAACTCAACAAGTAGCTTTAAAAATGGATAGGTGGTGAGTTCCCCATTGCTGGAGGTAATCAAGTGGAGACATCAAGAATTCAGTGTAGAGACACTTCCTAAGGGTCTTCTATGTTTGAGTCAGCAGGAGAGACTCACCAGATGCTGTGAGAAGCAGGGCTCAGGGTAGGTGGAGGTCTGAAATTCCAGGAGGTGATTTCAATTGCACACACACACCCTTACCTCTAAGGGGCATGTGATTCACCAGCACTGCTGCAGTTTCATTCCTGGGGTCCTTCATCTAGGCCCCCAGCTTCCCCTCAGTCTGCTTGTCCACATGTTCCTCCATGAGTTTCTGGGCCTCCTGGGGGTCCTGGATGGCCCCAGGGCTCGGACCTCCGAACCTGCGCTTGGGCCCCGGGAGTGGCGCCTGAGCAGCAGATCCCAGAAGCCCTCCTGGATCCGGGCCTCGGGCACCACGGTGAGGTTGAACTCTAAGCCCTCCAGGAGTTGGGTCTTGCTGGCAACGGGGACCCCGAGGGAGAGCGTGGCCAAGGCCAAGGAGACGCTGGCTGTGAGAAGAGAATGTTCTCACCGGGGACATCCAAAGCCAACCGTCTGTAGAGGCTGAAGGCAAAGTTGATGTTGCTCATGGAAATCTCGTGGCAGAGCAGGGCGGGCCTGGGAGGGCTGTCAGAATCTTGTGAGTCAACGAGGCCTGGACACTGAGCCGCAGCCATGATCACAGCGACCGGTGGCCACCACCGAGGGCCCTCCGTTCTCTGGGGTCTCAGTCTGAAAGCGGTGGTGGGTGGAGGACAACAACAATGACAATAGTAATAATAATAAATGATGTTCATGGAGCTGAGAGTCTACCCAGAGCTGGGCCCTGTGCAGAATACTTCACGGGCCTGTCCCCTTTTCATCCTACCACAGCCCTACGAGGCGGGCACTGTTTTCACATCCCATCTAGCAGATAAGAAAATAGAGGCCCAGAAAGGTGAAGGCTGGATCAGGGGAGAACGAGGAAAGGGGTGGTTTCAGCAGAGGGAAGAGGCCAAGGAGGCAGGGCCAGCTCATGCCACACCAGCCTTCTACCTGTATGTGCAGCTCTTGGGGCCTAAGTGAGGGGTGTGTGTGTGCATGTGTGTGCATTTGCTTGTGTGCATGTGTGCATGTGTGTGTGCATGTGTGTGTGTGCATGTGCATGTGTGCATGTGTGTGTGTGCATGTGTGTGTGCATGTGTGTGTGCGTGTGTGCTTGTGCATGTGTGTGTGTGCATGCTCATATATCTGTGCATGTGTAGGTGTGTGGTGGTAACTGTGGCAGGTTCCCAAAGCTGGTCGGGGAGACCCTAGCCACACTCACCACCCCACACTCACCTGAAATGGAGTGCTTTCCTGAGCCTTCAAAGGATCTGGGAGATTCAGCAGGTCCCCCTGGCCCTTGACACAGAGGTTTGTCCTTGCAGGGAGGATCGGGACAGACTGGACCCCCAGGGTAACACACACTGCCCTGAGGCTGCCCTCAGCTCAATGCCCACCCTTGGCACAAACCAACCACGAGGACAACAACCCACCCCGCAGTTAGTTAGTGTGGAAATGTCCGGGAGAAGGAAGAGCTCCGTGGAGCTCGGGAATCAATTGGCTCATTACCTGGGGATGAGTCTCGGTTCCACCTCCTACTTGCTGCCTGACCGTGAGCCACTTCCCTGAGCCTCAGTTTCCTCCCTGCCCTCCTTCCGCCTGGGGCTGCCATGAAGATTAAGGCAGGGAAGCACATGGATGTTCTTGGGAACAATAAAGAGCTGAGCAAATTGGAGCCACTCTCCATCCTCTTCTGCACACATCCATGGACATCCACTGTGGCTGGCAGCTGTGCTCATCCCAGGAAAACAGAGACACCCATGTTGTGGTTCTTACCTCCACGAGCTTGGACTATGAATTTTTAACATGTTGTTATTACTTGTTCATTTTTGGCTATAATGTCTTTAAGAATTGGGATGACTAGCTCTTCAGGAAAGTCCACTGATCTTTCCACACTATTGCAGCCCAGATAGAAAAGTTAATATGTACTTAATGGAAAGAGTCTTTGTAAAACCTTTGGAAGTCAAATGTCTTGTCCTTACTGAGCTGGCTGGGTGTCAGGGATGACACAAAGGTGGCCTGTGGACAGAGGGCAGAGGGCAGGGTTAATGATCATTGGCCAGATTTTCACCATCTCCCAACGTTGTTTATTATTATTTTGTTTTACTCTGCTCACCAACTGCCTTGACGCAAACACCTGCACAGTGGCTTCTTGTTACTTCCCAGCACTTACCACCTTTTCTTTTGAGATTCACTTAGGGGAAGCCCAGCAGGGGCCGATAGTGAGCTTCCTTGTACAGGCAGTCACTGACTTAGGAAGTATTCTCGTTATGACGAGCTGCGCTTGCACTTACAACCATCCATTGTTTTTTTTTTTTTTGTACATCTTATCTGTCTTAGTCATCTAGTGCTGCTCTAACAGAAATACCACAAGTGGATGGCTTTAACAAAGAAAAGTTTGTTTCTTCACAGTCTAGTAGGCTACAAGTCCAAATTCAGGGCATCAACTCCAGGGGAAGGCTTTCTGTGTCAGCTCTGCAGGAAGGTCCATGTCATCAATCTTCCCTTGGTCTGGGAGCTTCTCTGCGCAGGAACCTCAGGTCCGAAGGATGCGCTCTGCTGCCGGCACCGCTTTCTTGGTGGTATGAGGTTCCCATGTGTCTCTGCTCACTTGTCTCTTTTATATCTCAAAGGAGATTGGATTAAGACATTATCTAATCTTGTAAACCTCATCAGCATAACCTCATCACAGGGATAGTATTTACAACACATAAGGAAATCATATCAGATTACACAATCATGCAATACTGGGAATCATGACCCAGTCAAGCCAACAGACATTTTTGGGGGACACAATTCAATCCATGACATTATCGTTAATAATATGTACTACATACAATGTTGCGGTGCGGTATTTGCTGATGTCATCATTCTCAGATGTAGTGTTTCCAACCCCAAAGACAAGTAAAGATTGAATTTATAAACAGACTGATGATAAAAGGCAATAATAATGAAAACTAAAAACAAAATGAGGTATTTGACATAGGTCAGAACCGACTTACTGTGGAGTAGTTTTTGGTATGGAACCCCGTAGGGGGACCATCTGTATTTATTCATTCATTCATGTATTCATTCATTCACTGTTGAGTGCTTACTGTATGCTGAGGTTGTGTTAAGTACTGGGGAACAAGGCACAACCCTGCACTTAAGGATATTGATTTGTCTGGTTACACTTTTTATTAAGGGAAGTTTCAAATATACACAAAAGTAGAGAGAATGGCATAATGAACCTCATATACCCATCGGCAGCTTCAGTTATTATTGATGAGACCAATGTCATTTTTTCTGTACCACCTAATCCCCTCCTCACTTTGGATTATTTTGATGCAAATCCTAGACATCATCTTATTTTACTCATAAGAATTAAAAAAAAAAATCATAACCAAAAAGATGTATCACACCTTTAACAATAATTCCTTGATATCCCCAAATACCACACTATGGTTCGCATTTTCCTATCTGGTTCCTGAATGGTTTTTTCACAGTTGGTTTGTTGGAATCAGGATCCAAACCAGGTCTACACACAGAGTTTAGCTGATGTATCTTGAAGTCTCTTTTAATCTACTGGTTCTTCCTCATCTCCCCCTCCCCCCCCTACCCTTTTATTTTTTTGTTTTCTTGAAAATTATTTTGTTGAAGAAACTGGGTTGCATACCCTCTAGAATTTTCTAGAATCTGGATTTTGCTGATTGTATTCCCAGGGTGTCACTTAACTCTTGTTTCCTTTATTTCATGTGCCTGGAAGTTAGATCCGGAGCAGCAGTTCTCAACTCTGGCTGCTCATTAGAATTGCTTGAGGGAACTCTGGGGAAATTCTGATGCCTAGGCCCCACCCCAGACTGTTTATAACACACTTTCTGGATGCAGTATGTTATGGATTGAATTGAGTCCCCCCAAAATATGTGTTGTAAATCCTAACCCTTATACTCGTGGTTATGATCCCACTTGGTTTCTCTTGAGCATGACCATTTTTCCTCTATCTTCTTGAACATATAGAACATATTTAATATAGCTATTTTAAGGTCCTTGTCAGCTAGTTTTATCATCTTTGTCATTTCTGGGTCAGTTTCTATTGATTATTTTTCCTCTTAGTTATGAGTTATGTTTCCTGCTTTCACACATGCTTGTTAATTTATGAGTTTTACATTGTTAGGTGTTGTATTCCTGTAAATAATGTTGGACTTTTATTTTTGGCTTATTTTTAAGATTTGTTAAGGCAGATTACGAGCAGCCTTTGGTCTAGAACTAATTTAGCCCTACTTTTGAGTCTGATGACTCTACCCAATGTCCTGGTCTTTCCCCTCTGGCTGCTGGCAAAATGAACCATACGTAATCCTACTACTCTTTAGGTGGTTCTTTACTGAGCCTCAGGTAGATTTCTCTCATGCATGCACAGATCAGTATTCACTTAAAGAACTGAGTGCACTGCCTCTGTAGATCTCTCTCTGTCAGTATCTTTCTCTCTGGTATTCCACCCCACAAATTCTAACTACCTTGACCTCCCTATATTCTGTCTCTTCAACTCAGTAAGACGGCCTGGTTCTCCTCGATTTTCTTCTTCCTGAGGTAAGGCTTGGAAACTGCCCCCAGGTAGTAGGCTGGGTAATGGTCAAGCACACTTGGCTTCTCTTTTCTCAGGTAGCGCGGTTCTGCGATGCCTGTTATTCAATGTCTTAATACCATCGTTTCATAGTTTATCCTGTTTTCTAGTTGTTTTCAGGAGGGTTTATCCAAGTCATTGTTATTCCATCATAGCTGGCAGAAGAATGTTGGTATTCCCAAATATTTAAGACTTTTGATAATCTTTTAACAATTTATTTTTAAATACTCTTGGTTGAGGTTTAGAGAACATGGCCTGTAAGCACTTTGCATAACGTTACCAAAGTTTTCTTGTGACAGAGTTCAAGATTAATCTTTTAAATAGTCTACATACGTAAAAAAACATTGACCTCAGAAGTATGTATATATATCCTAAATCAAATTTTTTAATTGTATTATTAAATTCCTTTATAGATTCTTCTATTTTTTACTTCTAGATATGTCCAATTCCTAATGACATGTATCAATGACTCCCACTATAATTACATTTTAATCAAGTTTTTACATTTCTATTTTTTTCTTTTGTTATTTTAGCTCTGTGTTATTGGGCACAAGCAGTTTTATGGCTGTTACATCTTCAGCAAAATTTGTGTCTTTATCATTAAAAGTATCCCTCTTTATCTTGCTTGGTGTTTTTAACTTTTAATTCCATCTTGTACAATATTAATATTGTCATTTGAGATAGATTTATTTATTTCTAACCGCCTCGGCCTCCCCTAATTCTCAGTCTGTCTCTTTAACTCAATGAGATCCCTGGGCTGTATTTGGTTCCCTTCTCCCTGTGCTTAGTCGTGGAAACAGGCTACAAGCAGAGAAGACTCAAACTTCTGGGGGCTGGAACAGCAGGGACTCTGAAGGCATCTCTGTCTCTACACGGTCTCTCCATGTAGTGTATCCTGCATGGTGACACCAGAGTAGATGGACTTTTCATGAGTCATCTCATGGCTCCCTAGGCACAAGTTCTGAGAGAGATAGCTAGTTGAAGGCTGTGTCATCTTTTATAATCCGGCTTTGCAGGTCAAATGGCATCACTTTTGCATGCCTCATTGTTTAGATCAGTCTCAAAGTTCCACCCAGATTGAAGGGGAGGATACATAGACTATCTCTTGATGGAGGAGTGGCCAGGTTAGATTGTAAGAAGTGCATATGGGATGAGAGATACTGTTACGACCATAACTAGAAAATACAATCCTCCACAATCTGCCCTCTACTGGGACACTTCATGTCACATCTTCATGCAAAATACACATTTCTCCTCCCCTAGACCTCAAAATCACTCAGTTAGGCCCTCATCTCAAAATCCAGAATCTTATGTTTATAAAGTCTGAGTGTAGATGAGGCTCCTTTGGTTAGCTTGCTGAGTACTGTTTCTTTCAGCCTGAAGACGTGTACTAAAGAGACACATTATCTATCCCCAACACACCAGCATACAATGGGGATAAAGCCCTAGGATACCCACTATAGACACCCTCACTTAAAAAGAAAGCAAAGCAGGATACACACAGCAGTCACTTGTCCATAGCAATTCTGAAATTCAGGTGGTACATATCGCTAGTTCCTTGATTATGATTCAGTCCTACAGCTAGAGGGCGATTCCCCCATGACTCTGGGCTTTGCCCTCTGGTCTCTTGGTTTTGACCTCTAAATTATATTTGCATTTATTTATTTTTAATGTAGCCCATTTTGCCACTGAAAAGTTTTCACAGCCTGCTTCCTGCCTGTTGAAGTTCAGGGATTTGATTCAGTACTCTATCTGTGACTGTCATTTCAAGCTGAAACAATGCCTTTAAAGACTTTGTGTTTTTCTTATGAGTCTATTTAAATCCAGTTGGAGAAAATCCCTTCTCTAACTTAACATCCTTCTGAGGAAGCTGTATGAAAATGCCCTTAAGATCTTAGATGCCCTATTGACAGAGAGTCTGGGAGTAATACCCTTAAGATTTTTTAGAAAGTCTTTTTTCTGTTTGTTCCACCGCCATCTTTTTACGGACGTAACAATGCCCTAGATTTGATTTTTTTTTTTAACAGAAACCATTTCCTTATTTGAGATTTTATTTTTCATTTCTCTTGCCACCTGGAGAGGTTGAGAATGAAAAACAGTTTTATTTCTGAACCCAGCATGTTCTGGCTTCTTTGTATTGAACAAAGTCTTGTTTGTGGGCAAAGTCATCATTCCCTCTTTCATTTCATTATGGACAGCCAGAAAAAGCTGGATGCACCTTCCACAGTGCCCAGAAATCTCAGCTAGATCATCTAGTTCATTAAATGTATTTCCTAATTTTAGAGTTTCTATAGGCATCATTCATAACAAGGGCCTCCTTTACTAAAGCTTCCAATAACATATGCACTACTTTCCTTTAAGTCCTCTCTGGAAGCTTCCAGAAGACTCTTTAGGCTTCTACTAGTGTTCTCCCTGAAGCCCTTTAGGCCTTCACTAACACTCTCCTCAAGGCCCTTCCAACTTTCGTTCATTGCCCAGTGACAAAGCCAGTGACACATGTTTTAAGTTTCTGTGACAGCAATACCCCACTTCTGGATATCAAAAGTCCCCTTCCAGTTCCCCCTTGTTTCTCATTTCTTTTGATGCCAAATTGCTAGAAAGAAATGTCTACACTTGCTGTACTCCTGTTCACCACTCCGTCTCACTGAAACCCTCTTCAATCTGATTTCTGCTCCCATGTCTCAACCATAAATGCTCTTGGCAGGGTCACCATAGACCTTCCTTTGGTTATGTCTAGCCCATATAGTGGACACTCTTCTTCCTTCCTCTCTCCCCTACTGTTTTCCTCCTATCTCTTTTCCTAGCTCTTTTCTGTCTCTTACGGTGACCTCTCTTCCTTTTTCTTGTCCCTTCTTTGTGAGTAGTCTTGAAGATTGTCTCCCAGACGTCTTCTCTACACAATCCTTATGAAATCTCACCTTTTCCCTTGGTTGAACATATCTTCATTTCACCAGCTCAAATTTCCCTACTGAACTACAGATTCATAGAACCAACAGCTTACTGTTCTCCTCTTACAGATGATGGTCAGGCATGTCACTGCATATAGATTCTTTGCATCTATATCTGAGTATCATCTCCTTCACGAAGCATTGTTCTCCTCCTATTTCCCCATCTCACTGAATGGTATGTTTCAGTTTTCTGTCAGTGAGTTTTTGTACTGTGGTGGCTTGTGTGTTGCTATGATGCTGGAAGCTATTTTAAATACCATCAGGGTCACCTATGGTGGACGAGTTTCAGCAGAGCTTCCAGACTAAGACAGACTAAAAAGAAAGACCTGGTGATCTACTTCTGAAAAGTAGCCAATGAACACCCGATGGATCACAACATAATATTGTCCAATATGGTGCTGTCATGAAGATGATGTAGGACTTGGCAACGTTTCATTCTGTTATACATAGGGTCACCATGAATCAGAGCCAAGTTGATGACAACTAATAACAGCAAGAAGTCCTGTTTGCTTTGCAAGTTGCAATTTCTGTTTTATTGCTCTTTGGGATTGCCAACTTTGCCCATAAAGAGGATGCTTTGGGTATTTGAGGAGAAGATGGTCATCAGGAAAGGCCTGTTGAAATTCACAATGGTCTGTAAGCCATTCCTGGAGGAGGTTGCGATAAACTCGACTTCCGTGACCGCAGCTGCTTCAGTGCCGTCCTCAGCCACATCAACCACAGCCTTATGCACCACCTGTGGGGACAGAAGAGCATCACACTCTTAGATGTCAGAAGCAGGTTTCTGGTGGGGCTAAGGGGGTAGGTGCTGGAGTGGGGGTTGTGGAACCACATCAGCTCTTTGGCATGTGTTATCATGCTCATCTGTCATCTTTTTGACAGTCCTCTAGAGTGGGTGTTCTCAGCTCACTTTAGTGCAGGGGCAGTGAGAGTCAGTGACGTGGGTATTTTGGCGAAGGTCATCTAATATTAAATGTCAAACCAAGACTTGAATCCAGGTCTGCTGCTTCCAAAGTCACTGTGGGAAGCTGGAGCAGGGGGAAGGGCTCTGAGAAGGTAGAGGGAGGACAAAAGTGTGTGGAATTTGTGGGCACTCTTTTTCCATTTCCCTACTGGTACACCTGTATAAAATGGATGTTGGAAAAGTATAAGCCTTTCAGCAATAGATGAATCTTCCCATTTCATGTTCTCTTCAATCTCCAAGTGCCATCTTGTCTCTGGATACCTCTATCTTTCCCCACCAGCCCCTGCTGCCATCACTTGCTGATTTCTCCATCCTGGAATATGAAAAACCCACCATTGAATGACTCTCTGGTCAATCTATATCTTCAAATATATTAATTTTTCCTATGCGTCAGCCACTCATGATTCCGTCATACCTGTAACCAGGAGAAACCTCAACTTGGGTGGCATCTCTGTGGACTGATGAGTATACCTGGAAACCACACACCTGCACAGGCTAGTGACATTATGGTCTCTAACCCCAAAACCCAAAAACCAAACTGTTGCTTTTGAGTCGATTCTGACTCAAGGCAACCCCGTGTGTTATAGAGCAGAACCGCTCTATAGGGTTTTCTTGGCTGTAATCTTTATGGAAGGAACCCTGGTGGTTCAGTGGTTAGGCACTCACTGCTAACCAAAAGGTCGGCCGTTCCAACTCACCAGCCGCTCTGCAGGAGAAAGATGTGGCAATCTGCTGCCATAAAGATTTACAGCCTTGGAAACCCCACAGGGCAGTTCTACTGTGTCCTACAGGTTTGCTATGAGTAGGACTTGACTCGATGGCAATGGGTTTGGTTTGGTTTTGGTGTTTAATCTTTATAGAAGCAGATCACCAGGACTTTCTTTCATGAAGTGGGTTCAAACCTCCAGTCTTTATGTTTGCAGTCTTTTGTGCCACATAGAACTGACTCCAATCCAAAAAGGGCCCTTAACGGTGCTGTTAGAACTTGGAGGTTCCTGGATGTCTCCTCTCCTTGTCTCCCCTCTTTGGACTTCTGGCTTCTGGCTTCTCTTGATGGACTCAGCAGAGAGCATCCCTGTCTACAACACAGGGGAAATCGGAGTCACGTGAGGTGAGCTTCCACCTTTCTGACAACAGACTTAGAGCCACGCTTCCGGTCGAAGGGGCCCCCAACTCCTGTGCTTGGCCTTCCACTCATCCTTTTCTTCCTTCCTTCCTTTCTTTCCTTTTTTCTCTCATAAATTACTTTTTATTTCATTTACAGAGGCTTTGGGGTAAAAATGTGGTGTTTGGAAGACAGCATACAGGTGAGAATCTCCGACGAGCAGCCTGTGCTGGTGGGCTCTGCTAGGTAGAGTGAGCGAGGGGCCCAGAGCTAGCATGGGCCAAGCCTGCATGAGCATTCAAGGAGCTAGGCTTTGGAGCACAGGCAGCTGCAAGGGCGTGGAGCCAGGAGGGTCAGAATAGAAGGGCACAAGGAAAGTGACTGATCAAAGGAAGATGATTTATTGCTGCCAGTAGGCCTTGGAGCCTCCACATTGAACATATAGCCTATGGTGCCACACGCATGTCAGGCCACACACGTAGGGTCATTTTCACACAGTCATTGTTGCCTTCCCAAGGATGAGCACACAGGTAAGGAGAGGGCCAGGCACACCCCGGCTGCTTCGTTCACAAAGGACAGGCTGTACTCAGAGACTGAGCGCCTGGCTTCATTCTTAATGGGGCGAGGAGTCCCCCTACTCAACGGGGCACTCTAGGCTTGCTTGGGGTTGAAGACTTTGCCCAGAAATAAGATGCATTGCTTGTCTTTGGAGACAATGGCTATCAGGAAAGGTCTGTTGAAATGCACAATGGTCAGCGGGCCCTTTTTTCCGAACGAGAGGGTAACTTTCACGCTGTGGCAGCAGTTGCCTCTGTACCCTCCTCAGTCACATCAGTCATGGCCTTGTGGACCACCTGTGGGGACACCAGAGCATTACCCACTAGGGGCAGGGGTGGGGGCAGGCAGGAGGCATGCATTCTGGCTTCGGGGAGCTCAGGGGTCAAGATTTATCATGCCTCTACTGCATCTACTGCTGGTTCATGACGGTACTGTTTTCTTTGTTAGATGTGGTCGTGCCTCCCACCAGCCCTGCCAGTGAGTTTGCATAGGCCTATTGCACAGATGTGCAAACTGAGGCTCAGAGCCTGTGAGTGATTTGTCCAGGGTCAAGTAGGCAAAGAGTGGGGACAGCATGATCTAGATCCTTCTCATAGTTCAGAGTCTGTGATGCCCCCCAAAACACCCACTCTTGTGTGGGGGAGGGGCAAGCGCAAAGCAAGGCCTCTGAACAGCAGCTTGACTCCAATCTCCTCATGGCGAGGCAGAGATGCACACACTCCCTCAGACGGGCTAGCACCGCTTTCTGTGTCTCTCCTTCGTTGGCTTAAACATCTTGAGGCTATCAACTACTGTTCGTAGGATGTGTCTTTGAGTCCCTGGACCACTCGAAGCCCCTCCTCACAGACACCGCATCCATCCCCTGCCCTTTTGGAAGGTGGGTGCAGAACTCAATGCAGGGCCCTGGGTGTGAATACACGGCACAGAGGAAAGTGTAGGGTGGCCCAGTGACCCCTCTGTTCCGACTGCTCTGCTTCTAGCAATGCCGCTGTCCGAGGTTCCCAAGTCTCCTCTCATGCTCTGAATGTATTTTCATTGCAATCTTCATAAAGCCATGGCAATATTGCCTGTTACCGCCCATGCCAGGAACTGCATACCAGCAAGAACTACCACCTCCATTTTACAGATAAAGAAACTGAGGGGCGGAGGACTTCAATTATTTGTCCGTAGGCAGTAAACAGTGGCGCATGGATGGGGTCCAAGCCCAGGCTCTTCCCATGACAGGCTTCTGTGTCCCATTATATTGCAGGGGAGCTGGGGTTCAGCCTCCACTCACAGTAGCAGGAGCTGGGTTGTAACACAGGTGTCCAGGGCTTGGGGGGTGGGCCTAGGGAGGTGACTAGATAATGAGCAATACAGTTGTTTATAAAAATTCACTATTTCCCAAATGTCCACCTGGCCTTCACCATTCAACTTCAGATACAGAGGATGAGTTGCCCAACATTTAAAGATTTACCTTGGAAACCATCAAGCGCTCGTTCTCTGTGATTCCTGACAGATTAGCCTGTACGGTGAAGACTTCCCTCATGCCCAGCTGGGGAAGTATGTCTTTCAGCTCATAGTTGCTGGAAATGGAGAACTTGGGTAGGTAGAGATGATTTATCAATCTAGGAAGTGAGAAAAAAAATATATCTGAACTCCTGTCTAGTTTGGTGCCCACCTTCCTAGTCTTGCCTGGCTTCCTCTCCCGACCACCCCTTTCTCGCTGAAAGTAACTAATCCTTTCTTTAGTTTCTTAATCCCTTGTGCCCACTCTACTTAAATCATTAAGTATCCATTTATATCTATAAGTGCTGTTCTGCGTTGAATTGTATCTCCACAAGATATGTTGAAGTTGTAAACTTGGTACCTGTGAATGTGACCTTATCTGGAAATAGGGTCTTTGCAGGTGTGATTAAGTTAAGATGAGGTCATACTGGATTAGGGTGGACCTTAAATCCAATGACTAATGTCCATATAAGCAAAGGGACATTTAGAGACATAGAGACACAGAGACATAGAGAGACACACACAGGGAAGAAGGTCATATAAAGATGGAGGCAGAAGTTGGGGTGATACGTCTATGAGCCAAGGAACGGCAAGGATTGCCAGTGAGCACCAGAAATTTAGGAGAGAGGCATGCAACAGATTTTCCCTCAGAACCTCCAGAAGGAATCTACACCCCCTTCCAGGATCTGAGCCCAGAACTACTGCTCTGTCTTGCTTGTCCCTTTGGTATTGGTTCCCTGAATCCCATATCCTAGCTTGTGGCTTTACCTTTGCAAATTTATCCAGAACCCACTACTACTTCTCCCTCCTCACTGCTGCTCCCTGGCCTCAGGCACCACAGCTCCTATCTGGATGGCAGCGCTAGGCTTCCAGCTGGCCTCCTGTGTCCATGCCTGCCCCTGCAGTTCATTGTTCACTCAACAGCCAGGTAATCCTCTTAAACCAATACTCAGATAATGGCACTCCCGGGCTCAGAACCCTACAACGACTCTCCATCTCACTCAGGAAAAGTCAAGGTTTCCTAGGGGCCTACTTGCCCCACCCCTTGGGGCTGCTTGCCTCTGCTAACTCTCCCCCTCACTCTGCTCTACCACATTGGCCTCCTCATGGCTCCTCGAACATTCCAGGCTCACTCTCACCTCAGAGACTTTGCACTGGCTGTTCCTTCTTGTGGGAATGTTTTTTCCCAGATAGCTGCATGAATCAATCCCTCACCTCTGTCATGTGGTTGCTCAAACATCACCTAAATGGCCACCCCATATACAATCACAAACTACCTCCCAGTCCAGTTTTCCTGATCCCTTTATCCTGCTTTTCCTTTTTACTCCCATTGCACTTTTCGCTTTCTCACATACAAAATAATTCATTGTTTATTTTGTTTATTTATTGTTTCTCTCCCCTGGCTAAAAAAATAAGTTCCATGAAGGCAGGAAGTTTGTGTTTTATTCAGATATATTCTCAGGGTCTATAATAGTGCCTGGCACATAGGACGTGCTCAATTAGTGTTTGTTGAATGAGTGAATGAGTGACCGAATGAATGAATATCATAGCTAGCACAAAGCAGATTCTCAGAGACCATTGCATCTCAGCCCTCAACTAATCACAATTCCTTCTGACCCCCTCTACCTTCAACTGGTTGAAATGAAGAGAAAACAGAGCAAGTGGTGGGCATTGTGTTGAAGATCCCTAAAGACAGAGCATGTTAGAGTCACAGGAAGCCATCACCTTATAGAAGAAAAAAATGCAGGCCTAAAGAAACAGAGGCAGTAAAGGGCAAAGTAATCCCACAAATCTACCTTCCCCAGTTACGGGTTCTCCTACCACTCCAGCCCTGCACCCTGGAAATTAGTGAGATTCTACAACATCTCAGAGGTCCTGAGGTGGTGTGATGGAGAGTCTTGGGGGATGGAGAGTTGAGGAAGAGCGGGAGTGGTTTGGGAAGGAAGGGTGGAAAGCCCACATACCTGATCTTCAGTGACTCTCTCCACTTTCTCAGTGTTTCTGGGAACAACATGGCTTCCACTTTGTCCATTTTGCCTTTGTCAGGGAGGATGAAGAGCGCACTGGCGGTGCCGGTGTAATTCAGTTCCACCACTGTGCAGGAGAGCACCTCATCCCGGAAGTAAGGCATGGCCACGTTCACGAGACTCATCATGGGCACCTCCACAGACTTATTATTGTTCACATGGAACTCTGACTTGTCTGTGCTTCTGGGATCAAAGGGAGTCTGCCACTTGGCTAAAGGTGGGGGAGCAAGCAGTCAGAGAACTAGGTGAATGGAAGATCCACTGTGCTCCTGTGCCATCTCTGCCCCACTTGCCTGAACAGGGAAAGCACTCTTAGGGATGGAACTGCTTTGGTTTGGAAAGATCCCTTGGCAAGTATGGACTGTGAAGGAGGCTAGGAAACAAATAACTAGCTAATTGTGTTAAATAAGAAATCTACAGGGATTTGGGAATAGGGAGTACAAGAAAGAGATGAGGGTTGGGGAAAGGGGAAAAAAAGGCTCTGTGGGAGGCTGGAGCCTGGGAGAAAACTGGGAAAGTCCACAATCCTGAAAAGGCATGGCCTTTCAAGAACAATATTTAGTGACCAATTGTGGGGAGTGCAGGTGTGTAAACATATAATCACCATTCTGATACCCTAAACCTTCTGCTCCTCTCCCAAATGGCTTGTGGAAGGATTTTGGGTAGAAATATGAAGAAAGAGGATGAGTTCCCCATCTGGGTTGGTGAGGGGCAGACAGAAGAGAATACCCATCAGTGTGAAAGAGCTGAGAGGAGCAGCTCTTAATGGAGGGCTGAACTCAGAGCCAGGAGTGACCTTGAGAATAAAAGCCCATGGATACTTGTGACATCTTTGGGGATGGAGGCATTGACTTCCCAAAAGACATGGGCTAAGAGGTACTGGCCAACTTCAATAACTCAAAAGAGCAAGCTAGGTCTAAGCTGACACCTGGGTTATGTTCACTCTATGGACCATGGACAGTCATAGTTATCAGTTTAGACCTCTCCCTGGATCCTGAGTCTTCGGTCCCATCACCTCCACCCCTAATCTAGAGGGACCTGGAATTGTGGTAATTTCTTGGACTCAGGATCCAGTAGCTCCATAATTCTATTTTGCACTTTCAAGCCACGCCTAGGGATTCTCATGGCTTATGTCCTGTAGCCAGTAGAGAAATTTGCTCCTGACCCTCTCCCATCCCAACCTAGTTCTGTGTCCTAGGCTGTGTCCCTGTTCTATGCTCCTCTTTTGCCATTTTCTTCTGATGACTAACTTGGTTCCCTTGCTTTCACTCTCTCTAAGAACCCATCTCCCTCAACTTTGGCTCCTTCTGCTCTAGGCTATACTAGATCCAGCCTTCCAGGATCCAACTTCAGCCTCAGCAACATTACAGCTGGGTTGGGTGACTAGCCCCAATTTCTGGGCTTCTGACATCTCTCTCTGGTCATCAAGTTTGGGGTGACCATACATAAGGGAGCCCCTATCACAGCATTCCTAACTGCAGCATCACACGTGACAACCTCTCAGCCTTCTTCCTTCTTGACCCTATCATGTTTCTTGGCCAAGCATATACTCATGGGCACTCTGACTCCAGGCCTTGCACGGGCTTTTAATTTTGTGAAGGCAAAATTCCATGAAATTCCCTCTGGCACTTATAGCTACAGCAAGCATTAAACACAGCCCAACTCCTAGCCAGATTAACATAAATCCTCACATTAAAGGCTTATTTACATTAGTTTCTATTACCTGATTTTCAACAAAAAATTACCAGACATGCCAAAAGGCAAGAAATTACATAGTCTGAAGAGACAAAGCCATCATCAGAGCAAGATTCAGATATGACATAGAAGTTGGAATTATCAGACAGGGAATTTAAAATAACTTTGGTTAGTATCTTAAGGGCTCAAGTGGAAAAATAGACAAAACAAGAACATATTGGCAATGTAGCCAGAGAGATGGAAATTCTAAGACTCAAAACGGAAATGCTAGAAATAAAAAGCACAGTAATTCAAGTGAAGAATGCCTTCAGTAGGCTTAGCAGACCCAACATGGCCAAGGAAAGAATCAGTAAACTTGAAGCTGGGTCAATAGAAACTTCCCAAACTAAAATGCAAAAGAAAAATGTATTGACAAAAACAGAATAGAGCATCTAAGAACTGTGGGACAATTTGAAAAGGTGTAGCATACACTTAATTGGAATACCAAAGGAGAAGAAATAGAAAACAGAGCAGAAGAAATATTTGAAGTAATAGTGGCTGAGAACTTTCTAAAAATAATGAAAGATGCCAAACTATAGATCCAGGAAGATCAGAGAATATCAAGCAGTATAAATACTAAAAAATCCACTCCTAAGCATATCATATTCGAACAGCAGAAAACCAAAGACAAAGAAAAAATCTTGAGAGAAGCTGGGCAGGGGCAGGCGAGGGAGAAAGCACCTTACCTATAGAGGGATAAGGATAAGAATTAGAGCTGACTTCTTATCAAAAACCACGCAAGCAAGAAGACAATGGAGTGAAATATTTAAAGTGTTGAAAATTCCATGAAAGTCATTCTTTGGGAATCCTGATGTGGGCTCGTGAGCTACATGTGATTAATTGGCTACAATTTTTCCTCCTTTAGATAAGGGGCCAGGAAGCTACAGCTCCCGAGCCAAATACAGCCATGGCCTATTTTTGTGTGGTCCTAAAGCGAGCAATGGTGTTCACATTGTTAAAAGGTTGGGGAAAAAAAAAAAAAAAAAAAAGAAAGACCCTGCTACAGAGACCTATGTGGACCGCAAAGCTTAAAATAATTACTATTGGTCCTTTACAGAAACAGTGTGTCAGCCACTGCTCTGGATTATGGACTTCCAGTTTTGACTTTGGGAGGTGCTCAGTAAAATTTCTGAGTTAAAAAAAGAGGAAAAAAAGGAATTTTAGAATGGGCCCAGGTCAAGTTTGAATCTCTATCACTTACTAGTTGCACCCTGGGCCAAGTCACTTTGCTTTCAGAGCTTCATGTCCCCTAGCTAAAAAATGGGGACACCATCACCTACCTTTCAGAGCTTCTGTGAAGATGAAACAAGGTGGTGGTAGGTGTCCAACAAATGTGAGCTTCCTATTTCTTTTTCTCTTTTTCTCTAAATAGAAGCTGGTGCAACAAGAGTCTGCTTCTGGGTGGCCATACTTTCTCTAGTGCCTCATTTCTTCACTTGGCCCATCTGCACCCGTGGGCTTTCTAGGACCAGTAGAGTGCCCTCCCTCCTCCCACACAGCCCCTCTCAGCCTCTCTGATCTCTACAGCCTGCTAGCACCAAGTGACTAAGGGAAATCAAATTGTAAAGAGCATCACAGTCAAGGCCCAATCCAGGGTGAGATGTTTCAGTTAACAGGTGTCCCTGCTCACCCACTGCAGCAGCCACTCAGGTGGTTTCTCTGACCACCACGTGGGGGCAGTGCCACGTGGTACCTCCAACATCACCCAGGAGACCAAGGCTCCTTTGGGGTCTTCCAGTTGGCTGGCCCTCTAGCATGAGCTCCCACCAGAAAGATGGCTGGCCTTTGGGGGCTTTAGGGGTCCCCTTGTATGCTGCAGTAGGAAGAAGGGTGAGGTTTGAGGGAGTGAAATCACCATCTGTGTTATAATTGCTCCAGAATCTACTGGATTTTTAATCTTCTATTCACATCTGCACCCTACCTTCCCTATTTCCATCTTCAGGTCACCGAGAATTCTGATTCTGCCTCCTTAACATCTGCTAACATTCCCACCTATGAAGCTCAGGCCTCATCATCTCAACCCGAAGCCGCCTCATAGACCTTCATGACTCTGGGCCTGCCCTCTCTCCCAATACTCTCATGGAAGCCTAAGGGATCGTTCTTCTATGGTCCTCTGAGTAGAGTCCAAGTGTCTCACAAGGCTAGTGTTGTCCTTCATAATAGGGACTCTTCTTGACTCAACACCCCCAGCTGCTGCCCTCTCTGTATGGGATCCTGCTTTGTAGCCACAGAGAACTGCTTGCTCCACTTGCCATGCTCTGTCTCCACTCCATGCCTGTGCATGAACTATTCCCTCTGCTGCAATGCCCTTCCCACCATAGTCTATCTGTATCTGAAAGAAAAAAATTCCCAGGGGAATCTTTCTCTCTCTTCCTATCTTGACTCCGTGGTCTCCCACTCCCCTTACTCTCATAGTCACTTTTGCAGCTCTAGCATGATGAGGTGAACCAATCCTGTGTGCCCATGGACCAACTGGACTCCACCGTTAGAGGAAGAAGAGAAGAGGAGGAATTAACACCCATGGACACTGACTCTCTACCTAAACTGGTGTAGACTGCAGCAGAGATGGGGCACTTGAACCCAGGACTTTCTGAGTCTGAAGACCGCCACTTGAGGAATGACAAGGCTCCATCACACACAAGTTGGCTGGTGTTTGTGAGCTCAGCCGAAGCAATGAGCAAATCAAGAACCCAGAGCGCATGGTGGAGGCCAGGTGAGGAGAGGGTGGATTGAAGCACAGATCTCCTGCCAGGGAGGGCTTGAGCACTCAAAGAGGGAGGCGCTGCGTGGGAGGCTAGAGGCCTGCAGGGTTCCTGGGAAATGTGCAACCCCCTCCGCTGCCTGTTTCCCCATTGTTAAAAGCACTCATGACCCTGAGAGAACCTCAAAAGGCCCTATGAGCTCCTACTTAAGAGACAGGAGAGGAGAGGACAGCTGGGCTGGTTGGGAACCTCTGAGTAGAAGTGTTTGGATAGAGTCCTTGGGTGGTGCTAATGGTTAAGGGCTTGACTAGTAGCTGAAAGATTGGCAGTTCAAACCCACCCAAAGGTGCTTCAGAAGAAAGGCCTGGCTATCTACTTCGAAAAGGTCACAGCCTTGAAAACCCTATGGAGCAGTTCTACTATGCATACATGGGGTCACTATGAGTCAGAATCAATTCGATGGCAAACAGCAACAACTGTTCCTAGAACAACTATTTCCTAGGACAAGTGTTAGACTGGTGTTTGAAACCCCACCCCTACCCACACCAGAGCAAACAATGGCTATGGGCATGGGGTGGTTTTGGCAGCCACAGAAATAGCCCTGCCCTCTCAGAACTAAAAGTCTGTTTCCCTTGGAACCCTAATCCACACGCACCTTTAAAGAAGAGGTAATTCACCACCAGCAGCCTTGTTTCTGAGCTAAGGTTCCTGATCAAGTTCACAATTTTTCCCTGGGTTTTCTGTTTCACGTAGTCGTTGATAAACTTCTCGGCGTCAGAGGTCGCGCCCTGGAAGTTGACATTGAGGGCCTCAGCTCTGTACTGCTTCTGGGCGCCCTCCTTGAACTTCTCCAGCAGCTTTAGATGCTCATCGACGAACATAGTGTTGCCCATGCTCAGCTGCAGCTCTTTGCTGGACTGGTTGAGGGTGCTCAGAAGGTGCTGGAAGCCCTGGTGGATTTCAGCCTCGGGGATCTCTGTGAGGTTGAACATCAGCCCTTCAAGAATCTCTGTCAAGGTGGTGCCACGGGCTCCCAGGGACACGAAGGCCAAGGCCGTGGAGATGCTTATGGGCGAGAAGATGATATTTTCTTCGGAGGTGTTCAAAGCCAACTTCTTGTACAGGCTGAAGGCGAAGTTGGTGTTGCTGGGGGATATTCTGGGTACATGGGTCTTGTCCTGGGCCTGGTTGTCCTGGCTGAGTATGCTGCCTGAGTCGCCCAGGACAACAGGGCAGAGCACAGCCACCACCAGTGCCAGAGCCAGGAAGGGTGACATCCTCTCCATTCTCCTCTGAAAGCAAAGATCCCTTAAGTCACAGTGGTTCACATGGAGCCCTGACCACCCACCCACCACCTGTGGGACTCCCCACACTGCCTCCCCATGGTCTGGGGTCAGTCCCTGCTCTGCTGCCCCTCGCCACCTTTGTGCCCTCCATGGATTGGGCATGCTCCTGGGCACCTACCGCCCACGATTACATGCTGTGCTCCCTCCCACCCTTGGAGGTAGGTGCTGTAATTGTTGCCATTTTCCCAAGGAAGAAATCAAGCACAGAGAGGTGAAGGAGGTTGCCCAAGATTACACAGAAAGCAAGAGGAGAAGCCAAGGTCAGAAGCCAAGTCTGCCTGACTCCTAGGTCTGGAAGCTAAGGGCTGGTGTGAATGGCTGCCCAATCAGAATGCCTCCTCCCCTTTACCCCCCAGTCAGAGGGGATTAGAAGGCAGGGGTCCCTCCCCTCTATGTCCCCTGCCTGTCCCCAAGGTAGGACCAGTAAAGGAGGCTGCACCAGGTCAGGCAGACCTCAGAGCCCCTCCCGGCCCTCAGTCACAGGCTGTGGGGCCTGGGCCAGGGCCACTACTGCTGTGTGCCTGCTCGTGCTGAGGCTCCGTGGAGAGAATGCACAGAAAGCAGACGGTGCCTGGAACATGGCTGGCTGGCCCTTGGTAAGGGTTGGCGTAGAGACCAAAGGAAAGCAGGACTTTCTTGCCAGCCCCATCAGGTATTTCCATCCTAGGAGTTCCTGGCCATCTACTTCCCAAAGATCACAGCCGTGAAAACTCTACTGAATGCAGTTCTACTCTGACACACACTGGGTAGCCATGAGTCAGCCTTGACTCAGTGGCAACTGGTTTGGTTCTTTTGGTTTGTTTTTACCATAAGTTAGGAAAGTCCTCCTGGTGCAGGGGAAAGCAAGGGAGGCTTCGGAGTCTAAGAAGCTTGGCCCAGGGGTCTCTGTTTAGCCCCTTGTGATCAATGGTTACAGCAAGCAACCGAAGCTATCCAAGCCTCAGTTTCTGTCTGTCAAACCAGCTGGGTGGCTCAGGGGAGATAAACGATGACAGTGCCCGGCTCACAGGTTTTCAAAGAAGGTACCTCCTCCCATACGCCCCCTGGAGGTATTGCACAAGAGTCCCGAGAGGACTGAGTTCAAGGCCGGTACCTGCAGACTTTGCCCACTCAGCTCAGAATTCAGAGGTGCCAAAGGGCAGACTGGGTGATGGAGAGAGGAGGGCAAGAGAAGGGGGGACGGGAAAGGAGGGGAGGGAGAGGAGAGAAAAAGAGAGAAGGGGAGGGAAGACAGGGGAGGAGAGGAAGAGAGAGAAGGGGAGAGGAGAGAAGGAGATGAGAGAGCAAGAGAGGAAAAGAAGAAGAAGGGAGAGGAGGGGAGAGGAGGGGAGAGGAAATGAGGTGAGGGGAAGAGGGAGGAGAAGGAGAGAGGAGGGAATTGAGGAAATGATTCCCATCAAGAGACCAATGGGATTCCTGTGGTCAAGCCCAGGGACAGAGGCAGCTTGGTTGCTTCAAATATTTGTCTATACTCAGGGCTGGGCTTCTGACACATCTGTTTCTCTGGAACAGAGTTAAACATTTTTTCTGGGGAAATGATTTCTGGGGCAGAAAGCCTTGTCTGTTTGGGAAAGTTGGAGGGCTGGCTGTTTCCCAGCAGCCTGGCTTCTGGGTTGCTGGACAGAGCTGCAGCCTGCCTGCCTACCCACCCAGGGACCCTAGGAAGACCCTGAAATCATGGGGGCCATGGCCCCTCCCCAGAGGGCCCACTGATGTCTGCAAGGAACTCTGAGAGCAGCACCCTGGGCCAGGTGAGGGGGCTGCAAGGATCGCCTCCTCCTCCTCCCACTGGGAGAGCCCTTTGGCAAATACAGGAAAGGAGGCCAGGAGGGGCAGAGGGGGATGGGGATAACTTCTCCACCAACTTCAGATTCCCAAAGTGTCAGAAGCAGAAATGACCATAGAGGCCGTGGTGGCACCCGCACCGCTTTGCAGGTGTGAACACCCAGGTCCGGAGAGAGGACTTGTCTTAAGAAGGCACCAGGATGCAGTACATCTTGACTCAGGCGCAGCTGTTCACACACCTCTGCCTAGCTCCCTGCTGCCCCATCACCTTCCAAAGCTCCAGTCTAGAACTGCCCTGGAAACAGGATTTCTTTGCCCCAATATGTAAAGCATCATGATTACCTGCCAGGAGAGCTGGAAGAAGCCGGTGAATTCCAAAGCAGCCTGCAGGGAGTGCTGGGTTTTTATGAGCTCGACACTATCCACCAAAAAGAGCTCCTCCCTCTCTTAGGAAATGCCAGCAGGAACTGCCTGAGTTGTTTTCTGACTGGAAGTGGCCAGATGATCGTTCCTGGTAACACGGATTTGTTAGATATCCTCGAACTCCAATTTTCTGGAAAGAGCCCCTCACTCTGTTCTTTTCTTAAAAAAAAAAGGAAAAGAACTTCAACTTGTTAGTTTTTTCTTTTGTTTATGAAATATGCAGCAAAGAACATGTGAAAATCCAGAAGATATGAAAAAGAACTCTGAAAAAATTCCCCCAAATTATATCACCCAGGGAAGTTTCCGGGTAACATTCTGGTATATGTCTTCTTTTTTTTTTCCTTATTGTTGTTAAAAATATGCACAGTAAAACATACACCAATTCAATCATTTCTACAGGTACAATTTAGTGATACTGATTACATTCTTCGAGTTGTGCGATCACTCTCATCCTCTTTATTCGAATTTTTCCTCCTCCATTAGCATAAACTCACTGCCCCTCAAGCCTCCTATCTACCTTCTGGAGTTGATGTTGTCAACCTGATCTCTTACAGATAGTCCTTGAAAGGAGCCCTGGTGGCACAGTGGTTAAGCACTCGGATGTTAACTGAAAGGTCGACGATTTAAACCCACCAGCTAAGGGAGAGGAAACGTTGATGGTGTAGTGGTTAAGTGCTATGGCTGCTAACCAAACGGTAGGCAGTTCAAATCCACTAGGCGCTCCTCGGAAACCGTATGGGGCAGTTCTATCTGTCCTGTAGGGTCGCTATGAGTCGGAATTGACTTGACAGCAACGAGTTTTTGGCTAAGGGAGAAAGATGTGGCAATCTGTTTTTGTAAAGATTACAACATTGGAAACCCTATGGTACGGTTCTACTCTGTCCTGTAGGGTTGCTATGAGTTGGAATCGACTTGTCTGCCATGGGTTTGGTTTTTTTTTTTTTTTTTTTTTTCACGCACGGAGTAAGAGAGAAAGCAAATGTGACAAAATGTTAACAACTGGTGAATCTAGGTGAATATATGGTTTCTCGTCTCTCCACTCCAACGACAGGCTCTGGTCTTTTTTTTTTTTTTTTTTTGGTTTCAGATGGTGCTTAAGGGAGCACAATGCTCGAGGCAGACATTATTTACTAATTAAGCTCACCTATTGTTTGGTTTGGAGCCCTGGTGGTGCAGCGGCTAAGAGCTCGGCTACTAACCAAAAGGTTGGCAGTTGAAATCCACCAGCTGCTCCTTGGAAACCCTACGGGGCAGGTCTACTCTGTCCTATACGGTCGCTATGAGTCAGAATCGACTCGAAGGCGACGGGTTTGGTTTTTTGGTTTTGGTGGCGCGGTGGTTAAGAGTGTTGCTGCTAACCAAAAGGTCAGCTGTTCGAACCCACCACCTGCTTAGGGTAATATTCCAGCTAAAAACATGGAGAAGAGACTTTGGGGATGACTAATAATCTTGTCCTAACTTGTTAGCTGAGTGTACCCAAGGTCTCCAGCCTTCAAGAGAGTCATCTCCTTTAAAACTCAACTGACTTAGTCTGCACCTCCATCCAATGTGAGGCAGAGAATTCCCTCCCCTCCCAAGTACTGCTGAGGATGCTTGGGAAAGGTTGACTTGCTCTGGTAGCCACCTGTCACCTGAAGCTCCAGACTGAACCCCTCACCTCTGGCTGTCTTTCAGCCTCTGCTCTGGGCCTTACAGCCTTCATTGGTCTCCTGTGCCCCAGGCATTGGCGCAGGTCCCTACTTCTATTCTGCAAGCACTATTCATCCAAGGATGGCTCTTGTCACAGTGTCCCGCGGGCCTGACAACAACATAAGGGAATTTTGAAGCAGGAAGGGAAAGCAGGGTTTATATTAGATAGCACTGTTATAGAATCCATCGGCCCTTCCTGTTTGGAATGGGGCCCTCCAGGCCATCTCCCTATTACTATTAGTCAGTGGTGGCTGCCAGATGCTGGAACCTGTTTGCCTCCCCAGCCAGCAGTCCTTTGAGCAGATTCTCTTGTCTGAGTCCAGGGGACCCCACCACATCTGTGAATCCCACAAAAGAAAGCAAAAAAAAAAAAGAAAAGGAAATCAATTAGGAGCACAATGGTGTCTGCAGAAATGCCCATGAGGAGGAGAGCTTTGACATCTTTGCTGACACAATGTGTGGTCCAGGGACAAGCAGCATCAGCCTCATCCAGGAGCTTGTTAGAAATGTCAATTCTTGTTGTGTTGTGTTCCCTGTCAGGACACCACAGAGAGTCCCTGAAGGAGCAGGAGAAAAGTATGGAGCAGAACTCAAATTCACGTAAAAAGACCAGACTTAACGGCTGACTGAGACTGGAGGAACCCCCTGAAGCTATGGCCCCAGAGGCTGTGTTAACCTAGAATGAAAACCATTCCCAAAGCCCACTCTTCAGACAAAGATTAGACTGGACTATAAAACATAAAGTAATACTTAGGGAGAGCGTGCTTCTTAGTTCAAGCAGATACATGAGACC